CCAGATGGCTCTACTCCAAAGCCCATCACTGACAGATCCCACATGCTCTCAAATACAGGCAGACAGGCAAGGACTGGCCAGCATTTCAGGGAAAAGCCAAAACAAACAAGAATAGGAGCTCAAAGGAAAACAAGCAGTGTGGGGTAGGGATGGAGCTTTGGAAAACAGCCATAGGGACCTGAGAGATGTGCTGACATTAAATCAGAACAGAGTAAAAAGGAACTCTTTGAAATAAAAAATATAATAGAAGATGTAATATTTCACAGAAAGATAGGAAGGAAAAGTTAACTAATTCACTATAAAAGAGAAATAAAGAGATGGAAAATGGAAGAGAAAACATCAGAAAACTAGGGAAGCATTCTAAGAATTTAATCATCTGTTCAATAGGGGTAACAAAACAGAAAATAGAAAAAAAAGAAAAGACAGAATTAAAGAAAATTTCCCAGAATCTAAGGATGGGAGTCTCCAAATGAAAGAGCTAATATACTGCTCTGTCCACTATAGCAGCCCCTAGGCACATTGATGGTCATACTTAAACATAAATTAACTAAAATTAAATACAATCATAAATGCAATTCCTCAGTGTTCAATAGCCTTTTGTGACTACACCCGCTTTATTGGACAATACAGATAGAGAACATTTGCATCATTGGCAAAAGGTTGATTGGATAGCTCTGGCCTAGAATAACAGATGAAAGCAGATCCACCAAGACATCGTAATGAAATTTCAGAAAATATAGAAAAAAAGAACACATCAAAGCTGACAGAAAGGGTAGAGGGAGCAGGAAACAGGTCTCATACAAAGGCTCAGAATTCAGAAGGGTATTAAACTTTCCAAGAGCAAAACTAAAAGCAAGACTCTAGTCTTCAAATTCAGAGAGAAAATTCTTGTCATCTTAGAATTCTATGCCCAAAATATCAGCCTACCATGAGGGTACATATATTAGATGTATTCAGATGTGCAAGTTCTTTAAAAAGTTTACTCCTGTGCACCATTCCTCTGAAAGTCACAAAATCACACCCTCCCCCCAAAAATGGTGAAAACCAAGAAAGAGAGACAGGCAGATGACCTGGGAACAGGTCATTCAGCACAGCTGAGAGGCAAGGGGACTATCTGGGACAAAGCTGTGCAGAAGCTACCAGGTGTAAGCAGTCCAGACAGAAAGTAAGGAGAGGGCCACTAGAGGGCTTAAAGGTGCAAACAGGGGAATTACACTTCTAGTGGAAAACAGATGATAAGGACAGAGAAAACTCATCAAGTTACAAAAAGGGAATGTTGGTGTCAAGGAAAATGAAAAGTTGTCAAGAACATAAATGGAAGCACACAGTGTGTGTGACTCAATTATGAATAAAAAACACTTAAG